CACCTCTTTAATATTCAGCCTTCCATCCTCACGCTGCCTCCCTCCCTCGTTCCGGTGATGCTACTTTCTCTTTAGCATTCTGTCAGTCATTGTCGATGGCTGTATGGTGATGCACCTCACTTGATCACAGGTCTTAGATCAGCCGCAATCACGTCCTTGACCTCACTTTCTTCTCAAGTGCATGTTGCTGACTGCATCTCGAGCTGCAACAATCTCACGCGCTCCCTCGGTTCACTGATCCTTCACGTGATTTATTTTGCTCTCATTCCTCGACTCCGTCGCTCTCATTTCCTCTTCCTCACTCCGAGTTGCTCTCTTTTATCAGACGAGGCCTGTTGACTAGGAAAACACTTATTTCCAAAAACTGCCTCTGGGAGCAGTTTCACAGCAACAAAGGGTCACACTCATTCACACCGTTACACCTGTGAGCTGCCCGCCGTTTGTATACGGCTTGCCGCCGCTGGCCCTGAAGTGGCCAGAGTGCCTTGCTGAAGGGCACATAAGTTAACCTGAAAGAGTTCTCAGGGCATTTGGCGACCCGGAACATTTTCTGCCTGCCTCTTCCACTTTTCCTTCACACATCCTTTCCTTGAGCAGTTCCTTTATCCGCGCTCTCCTTGGTTTTCTCTCTCTGCTTTTCCCATCTGTCCCTCACTGTCACACATCAGGAGTGTGTCAGCTAGGATTCAGAATATGTCAGCACGCCGTCTGGTCACTCTGAGATTTCTCTCCTTCGCGTGAACGATTCTCTCCGTGTCCTACCTCCTTTCCCCACCCGCAGTAAACTACTGATTACGCCTCTGAGTTATTCCAGCTATTTTTTTTCCAGCCTAATGATTCTTGTCATGGCACGGAACTGAAAATTGAGGCACTCTCAGATCCCCAGTGTAACAGTCTTTCAAATCCCTGAAGCTCCTTAAGTCCTCTCTTCAGAGTCAGCAACCAAAACCAAAATCTCTCAGTCAATTTACCACGCGACCGAGTCGTCATTATTTCACACGTGCCACCATGATCTTACTATCATTAAAATTCATCCCTTACATAACGATCAAGGACACGGTGTGTCTTCCTGAGAAAAGGACAGAAAACACCAGGCGTGCATACACAAACACCAACACGCTTGCGGTCTGTTTAATAAATGCTTTCATACATGTATTTACTTGCTGTTTTGGAAGAAGTCACAATTCAAAAGGAATGAATGCTCAATAAATGCCAGCCGTGTGTGAAATATTCAAATGATGCCCTATTTACAAAAAGGCTGGAGAGTTTCTCTTCTTCTGCCGTCACAAGTTTGTTGCGTGACATAAAAGGAGAGAAAGCGGCGACTTCAGAAGCCTCACCCACCAAGAGGAATCTTTTGATAGCAAGTACACACGTTAGATTTCCGCATTAAAATCTACTGAGAAAGTTTTGGACAAAAAGATGTGCCACTTCTTCTTTTACAAAAGGTGGAGGATGCCTGTGTGTGTGTGTGTTTTGGGTTAGGTATAGGATGTTTGAGGAGTATGGTAGAAGAGGGTTTTTGTGTACTTATGCAAAGTCTGGTGTGCTCCCACACCTGCGTGAAAAGGAACGCGTCTGTGAGCGTTTTCGGCCGAGCTGCCAGGCGGCTGCTATCTTCGCGAGTCAGACGGGCAGGGAAGCCGGTGAGGTGCACGCGGATCGTTTGAAGTGCTATTCTCTCCCGGATGTTCGATCCACCCAGAGGAAATTTGTCATCTTGTTCCACCTTTCTGATTCCCCCATGGTCGGGGTGAGGGAAATGGTATTTGTTCTCATTTGCGGTCGACATCTCACTACACAGACACTTGTGTGTAACAGACCAGTGAAGGTAACTTGGAAATGTGTTTGGCCTTGCTGTGAAAACCATGTATGTGCTCTCACTTCCTCTGGTGTCAGACAGAAGTGGGGCAAACCACAAACCACCAGTTGTTCTGGTCTAATTCTAGTCTGCACATGTTTCATCTATCAACCCATCCCATGGCTACACATCAGATTTGTCACATTCTCTCTTTCAAACTAAATGAATCTGTCACTCATCTTTTCACCACCAGAAAACCTTTCCCCTTCTTCAGAATCCTGCTTTCTCTTTGCATCTCCTCATCATTTTATCCTGGTCTACCCCCCCCAACCGCCAATTTCTCTCCCCCACCTCAATCCAACAATATCCACCTCAGGATTACAGTCTGTCTACGCTGGTGGAAGCTCTCGTCATTCCAATCCGAATTGAATACCTTTTCTTTCTTTGGTTAATTAAAGCCACTCTCTCTCTCTCACACACATTATTAACATGACTCCTTTGAGATCCATCAAATCCCCCGGCTGCTAAGTGAAAATGAAGCCGAAGGGGGTAAGATGGAAGGAGAGAGAAAGTGAGACAGAGGTGGCAATAGAAAAAGAGAGAGAGAGAGAGCGGAAGAAGGTGTGAGAGCATATTGTGTAGAGACAGAGAGCCTCAAGAGTGATTCAGCCATTGTTACTCATCCCCTCCTTTTTGCAAGAGGGCTCATGTCATAAGTATTTTAAGTGCTCTCCACTCCGTTGTTCTCCTTTAATCCTGTTAGATAACTCTCTTTCTTCTCTCCCTCCTCCTTCCTTTCTATATTTCCTCTCCTCTGTCCTCCTCCGCTCGCCGCTGCCCACTCAGCAAACAGTGAGTCTTGTGCTCTCTGCCACAAGAAAAGCGTGAGTGTGGCTAAACAAGGTATAAAAAGGAAAAAAGGGAGAGGCAGAGGAGAGAGACAAGATGACAAAGATGTGGCCGCGCCGGTTTGGTGTTTGGAGAGATCTGCTCGCCGGCGCGGGCTCATTTGTTATGAGGAGTGTGGATGATAGCCAAGGCTGTGGCGAGTGAATTGTGAAGTGGAGCCTGCACACAGCTTGTAGTTACAACACACAGAAAGAGGGAGACAGAAGGGAGTTTGGGTTTATTCTGCAGGCGTGCGATGGAGTCGGTATTGTAAAATCAAAATTCAACATCTAAAAAAGCTGCCAAACACAGCAACACATGCTAATACTTTTTTTGGTCTGTGTTCTGTCAGTTGTCCAAAAAACATGCACTCATTGCTCATGCACACACACACATACACACACAGAACTTAGGGAAAGAATGTTTTCGACAGAACAGTGCACAAGTGTATAACCTCGGAATAGAGTCTCTTTTCCCCCGTTCCCTGCTTTTTATAGCGTCAGATGATGAGAGGCTCAATCACACTTGTGTGCCAAACAATACGTGATGCAATGTTTCAAACCTGCCTTGTAACAGCTATGCAAAACCAGCAGCACTCCGTCAACCTCGCTCGCTGCAGCCCCCCTCTACTTCACAAGAAATACATTTCCCACAAGCCCCTGTCCCCAGCCCATCATTTGCATGAGGACGATTACAAATGAAGGAGTTGTAGAGCGAGCTCGGCGCAGGTGAGGTGGGGCGGCCACATTCCTGCAGCTCCTTAAGTGGGAAAAGTGGGTCACACATGCAGAGGCAGAATTCGCTGGGCCAATGGCACAGACTAGTGGCGAAGGCATGTAATTGCATGAAAGCAGTTCATGGCAAATCGGTTTGTGCTGTAGATTTGAGAATCTGGACATTCAGTCGAATCCAACAGGCCTGATTTCAGTGACTAACCCCCCTTTGATGCTCGGTCAGTGCATTTACGCTGCAGCATCATTACCATCACACTCCAACTACCTGATTTACTTAAAAACCCCACTCTCTCTCTCGCTCTCTCTCTCACTGCCAAGGAAATTAATTCAACACAAAGAGCGGATAGGAGGGGCAGGCACTTGTGCCGTGAAGAATTTGCATGACCCAAAAATGCCCTGCCTCTCCTCCGACTCCATAAATCAAAGGGATGGGGAGAATCCCTCGGCGCCTCCGTGCTTTGTCCTCAAAGGTGATAAATTGATCCCTGGCTGGCTAATAAGCAGAGGCGCAGGGCAGCCCGAACTTCCCAAAGATTTATGCGGGGAAAAGTGGATTTATAGAAGAGGAAATGTGCGCGATTTGGAGAACAAAACCTATTTGCTTTATTTTTCCCGCCAGTACCCATGAGATGTGAGATGGGAACTCCTTAGGGAAACGTGGGGGTGTGAGAGTCAAGGCAGTAATGCATCAGGACAATAGAAATAGAATATCTGTCATGGAGGCAATGAATGTGATGGAATTACCAAGTTTTGATTGATGACCGTGTGTTTCCAATAACAAAGCATCTCAATCCATGCGAACATCCCCGCCACCTTTGAATGGGGTACAATCTATTTTTAGTTTTGCGATCTTGTTGCACGATCGTTAAAAACCAATACGACGGACAATTAAACATTCTTCGTTTTCGTCGGGATTCTCCGCAAATTAAGGGAGGCAAAAATGTGGGAGGCAATCTAATAGCTTGCAGACATAAGAGAAACCTTTTAAGGCAACTCAACCTGTCATCTTAATGACATGAGGTGATACGGTGACAGGAAAAGCAGTCTTTTAAGAAGATGATCAATGCTATCACATTTTCCAAAGCTGACTGGAAAAAGGGGACAGAATATAGTGGCGTAGAGTTTCCGCAGAGTGCTAAAGGCAGAAGAGGTATAATACACTGCTTTCCTTTCTCACCCTCCCTCGTTCTCTGGATCCTTAATGTCCCCTCCCCCCACACTTCCTGTCCTCCCATCGCCGCATCCTCCTGTTCCATACTCAGTTTTCACCATCTCATCTGATCTCTCACACTTCACCCTCTCCATCCTTCATCTCTGACGCCCCTTCTTTCTTCTCTAATCTACATCCTCTCGCTTTCCGGGCCCGTCGCACACAACCCCACCCCACCCCCCCACACACAGTCAGCACACTCTCCACGTTGTGTTGATGAGATATTTAAACGATTAATATTATGCACGCTGAGCAGATTATGATAGTGTTCGGGGAGGAGCGGTTTCAGCGTGATGGAAAGTTTTTCCAGCGTGATATAAAACCTCTGCTGAGAAAACGGCTTTGACTGCAGACAAGAGAACGGTACCTCGCAAAGATGAAGTCTGCGCTCAGCTGTTCTTCACCACCAAGGCAGCCGTGCTCCACTTTCTTTGTCCTAGGAGAAAAACATGTACGGGAAAATTTAGTTTGCCGATAGCACTTGTGTGCAGACAGAATTACATGCAGGGAAGATTGATATCAATGGTCAGATTTGGCAATGAAGCGCCTTGTTTTCATGACAAAGATGAATATAACTCACACATAAAAGTTGCTTCTTGGTAAAGTGATTTTTTTAAGAATGTCTGAGTTGTGATGGGAACATTTCTCACTCAGACAGCTCACACGGCATGTGTGATATCCTGTCAACAACAGCCTGACTATTGCAAACCTATGCAAATGTGTCGAAAATATCAAACCTTCTCCCACCCAAAGTGCAGCTTCTTTTTTTCTTTTTTACTCACATGACGCCAATTCTAAATAGACACATGATGCACCATATAACTAATTCTATCTGCGTCTGACAGTGACGCTACCCTGTGCCACTGAGGCAGCTGTGGGTACAGACAGAGCGAGGGAAGCGAAAGGCAGATAACTTCCCAAATGCTCATTTTTAGCTGGCTTGTTTTGGGCACAGCGCAGCAGAGCTGACGAGCTGAGCACAGAGTTTTTGACACAATGGTGTCAAACTCGGGACTGTGATGTTCGACTCACACCAGTGAATAGCATCGCACCTGCTGGCAACGCGCAGACACAAACAGATTGTTATCAAGACCCTGCGTGCAATTAGTGTTTGGGACTGCTGCGAAACTTAACGACACATTTGCCTTACATTGTTTCATTCAAGAGGCTTTCAGGGAGACGGCATATGGAATCTGAAACAATCAGGAATCGGCAGTTTAATATTGATAAATTGTTTGCTGATTAAAGCAAGTCGCCAGGTAAAGTCAGTCTGCTGATCCGCACTTTGCACCTGACCCGCCGTCTTGATAGTTTTGCTTTTGCCTCTTCGCCCTCATTCTCATAAATGATCTGACAGATGCAAGCCTCACCAAGTTCTGTGCTGTCATTAAGTCTTTTTCTCCTTTTTACTGTTGCAAGCTGTTTCAAATGTGCAGTCAGACTACTAACGAACAATTGGCGTTGGTGTTACAGCTGCTCTTGTATGCTTATTAAAGATTTTCCTAGTATTGATGAATGACCGCAGCCCAATTATCTCATGGCTCAGCTCACAGAGCATCATATTGTCTTTCAGCTCATTGTTTTAGTTTTTGCATCTCGTCTGTTTTCCTTTAAAAAGCTCAGATGAACCCACTGAAAAATACAATGACTGTAAATACTGGACTTACATTTTAGTATTTCAGTGATTTTTTGTAATCAGGCGAGATTTACATCATATCCAGCTGAAGTATTCCTGTGATTACTTACAAATAATCTGCAACAAACCACTGAAGAGTTCAGGATTTAAAGCAACACTATGCAACTTTGCCTTAAAATAGCAGCTTCAAAATGAGTTTGATGCTTCACTGACTTCCCACCGAACACCTGTTCCTGCTCATTGTAGCTTCGGTGTGCGTGTGCAGCCTCCTGAGAAGAGAGTAACTGACTGATAGTCCCACATTAAATGACTGTAGAATATTTATAAAGACGTAGAAGTCATTGAAAACCATCACCTATCTCTAATATGCAGCAAGGAAATTTTAAATACAAATCATTCTAAAACAGAGTTTGGTGCATTTATTGCAGCAGCAGCTGTTGTGGTCCGGGAAGTGAGACAACACAGTGAGAGCTCCAGTGAAGAAAGTTTTAAACTTTGTTTTTCCTCTACTTGAAAATTGCTTAAAGTCCAGTGTGTAAGATTTAGGTGAAAGGGATCTATCCATCTATCAGGAACTGAATATAAAATTATTCTATTCATATTTTCACTAGTGTTTGTTGATTGTTGTTTTTTTTACCCTAGAATGGGCTCTTTATATTTAAATACTTACATATAGATATTTATATCAGGAGCGGGTCCTCTCTTCGGAGGCTGCCATGTTTTCTTTACAGTAGCCCAAACTGGACAAACTAATCACCTTTTGAGTTTTTATGACAACTGAAGGCTACCACAGTTTATCTTCAATGTTTGGAAGAGGAGGCTGTGGTGAGGGGTATTCGGCTGCACAGGAAACTCCACCACTAGATGTCACTAAATCCTACACCCTAAACAATTCAATTGCTTGGTCACAGAGCTTAACAACATTTCTGAGGCTGCAGAGGGCGCTGTTGCTCAGTAAACATCTGTTTTTTTCAAAGTAGCATTCAGAATTCCATACTAGGCTGTATTTATTATATATTTTATTTATAATATATCTATGTAGCTGACATTTCCAAAGTACCAAGCTTCCACTTTTCGTTACAGGCACTGGTCCTGCAATAAACCCTGAACTATGTCTCCACGCCACAGTCCATTTCCTGTGCTGTTTGAACAGGCCCAGTGGCACCATCATTCCTGCGCTTTGTCAGCGGCAAAGTGTGCAGTAAATTACTACTCATTTATGACTGGGTGGGATCTCTGCAGCAGTCAATCACATAGCATAAAAATAAAATAAACAAATAAACAAGAATTAGATTCTTCAAACTGCTCCCACTTGACTGCTGTTTTAAAAAATCATGTACGGACGAGTAATATCTTCACCTCCGCCTCAACATTCGGGCGGTTTTATGAGATGAGCTGGTGTCTCTATTGGTTACTGTACAGGGGAAGGTCATAAACAGGCGATTTATGTCTGAAGTGCGGCCACGAATGCTGATGCTACTGGCGGAGAGCAGAGACACTGTCGGGTTCGACTCGCATTTAATGCAAACTGTAAAGTCCACTGCAGCGTGTCCTCACTCGTGCACTTTGCAATCTGTGGAAGGAGTTAACATAACTGGCTGACAGAGGCTACATCACATGGCACAATGAGACAGACGGAAGATAAACTCGCTCCGTGTGACACTAAGAGCAGGTTTCACACTTTCAGCGTCTTACATCACATTTCATGTCTAATTTAAGGTCTGAGTGCGTCGAGCGTGCCGCCAGCTCCGAAGTTAATCGTCATAGAGAGTTGTGAGGACACTTCATTAGCACTCAGTCTTCCAGTGGTGTCTGCATTTCAGAAAAATATTACTCAATGCAAACACATGACTTGCAGCACAAGCTCACAATGTGGTATATACCGCAGTGTTCATTAACGCAACACCGGCTACCATGATGCTACATCGATTGCTGCACCACCTACTATTTTCACAGCAGTTATCTGGACTTCTAAGCAACCATTGTTAAATTATGGGCATTTTAATTGCTACAGACACGGATCCATTAGCATAGCTTCTTGGGTGGCCATGGCCATGTTTCTCTAAATCATTAAGCTAATTATACAAGCTAATTAATCAGTAAGCTTGGAATGGGCTGTATGAGCAGACGCTGCTCTTTGTTGGCTTGCATAATGAAAGGAGTCCATTTTTAGACGGGGAAAATGAAGAAGGGGCTGGGAGAAAGAAACTTTGATCTTGAAAGTAAACATATGATTTTTGCATATCAAGTACTTTAGCAAAAAAAAAAAAAAAGTGAAGTAGGTCTTTAAATGCAAAAAGTCAAGGGAGATTAGCATTTGCGGTGCTTTGAAGATGCTGAATTTTTGCATGAGGACGGTAGATGTGGGTGCCAAGGTGTCCGACGTCCAATTACTATTGTCATTGTCGTGCAAAACAAACACAGGCAGGATTCCGTCAGTCACCAGAGTGATGTTTGAGGCCAGTTGAACAGTTTTTTAAGTGTGTGCTCTACTTCCACTACAAGACTGTTAAGACTTTGTGTTTGCGTCTCTCCGTATTGGAGAAAATGGATTGCTCCTGTGCTCCGTAGTCATCATTTAGTCCCTTGTCGCGCAATTATTTACTTTCCGGTCTCTAATCTGAACCCAGTGGCTGACGCAATCAATTAAGTGTCCATGCATGTGCACTGTAAGGTTACCACTAGGTGTCTATGTGTATATATCAGTGTGTCAGGCACATATTCATGATTTCTTGCACAGGAGTAAGGATGCATGAGAGAGGGTCACTGTCAGAAATCATAACTTACAATCAGACATATCCAAACATCCTGCTATCCTTCCTCCAGTATGTGTTGGAGCCACCGGCAGCGTTCATGCAGGAGTCTATTTTTAGCAATTCTCATTATGCACAATGGAAAAATTCTCCTTCTTAAAGTACATGTTTGCAAACCTAAAGGCACAATGATAACACTGTGATGCAGAGAGGCTGTGGTGTAAGCTTATCTTCATCTTCCTAATAAGCGATGACATATTTAGTTTGCAAGGTATGAGTAACTGCATTGAGTTGTAAATGTAGTTACATAAAAAAATATTTTATGTCTGCATTATTCACTGTGAAATCACCAGATAACGACTTATAGTTTTGTTTAATCTTTACCCATCTTGCAAGCTCCTTAACCAAACGCAGCCTCTTACCTGCAGAGTGGAGACCAGTCAGTTTCCACCATGCACGATGTGTTTTGGCCAATTATTTCCATCCAGTAATATACATAGCAACCCCAAAATGTAGGAATTTAAATAAGCAGTATGAACACCATAATATTTTTGATATGCGAGGCAGCTTCCTCGCTCTATGCAGCTTGAGTTTTATGCATTATTGTTATTTATATCTTTTTCACTTATTTGATGCTGTGGGAAAACACACAAAGTAAAAACTGACTTTTCTGCTTATTTTTCATTTTAAGGGGAAAAATATGTGAACTGAAAATTCAGTTTTATTCTGGTCTTGGTCTTCTCTAACGTTACATGTCAAGGAAAGGATCTTCTTTCTTTTAGCTTCCAGCTTTGGAGTGGCAGTATTCTTTAGTGTTTCATGCACTAATGTAGGACGTTCCTCACTTTGACTCATCTACTGAAATATCTGACAAATTACAGTTAAGGTCATTTATTCTTTAATCTCCAGTGAAGTACTTCCCTCCCAACACCGGTTATCAAGGTGAATGAGCACTTAGTGAACTGAGCACTGATCTACAGTACAGTGATGTAAGTGTTGGTGAATGGACGATGGTACAATACACTAAAGCATGACACATACTGACCTCGCTCTCTCTCTTTCTTTCTTTCTCTCTCTCCAGGGAGATTCTGAGGAGTTCTCTTCTTTCATCACTCTGGTCCGGAGAAGCAATCGCAATTGATTATTCCAAACGGGTAAGGTCCATCTTTTGTTATCTATATAAAAAAGAAAGAAAAAACAAAACCTTCCTTGTAATTGTGTTATTAAATAAAAGTGATCCATCTATGACAATCACCTGTGACCAAAATCCTGTTTTCCGCGTTCAAACGTCAATGCCCACCAGCAATATCTACAAGATAATAACGTCAGTGCATAGATATCAACCCGGGGAGCACACAAGTAAATGTTGTTAGTATAGATGAACGCATGGAAAGACTACGTGTCTGCACGTGATCAATGGTTCAGTCAGAGTAAATAGATTTCTAGACTGTCTGACTTTTATTATTTGATAAGAAATAATACTTTATCTCGGCAAACAAGTTAAGTTTGATTTCCTTTTTTGAATCAGGGGGAATGCGGTAGAAAATCTGAAATGGTCAATGCCTTTCTCATGAAATGTCTTGATTAACCTGCTGTAATGACATTTGGAAGGTGCAGTTTTCTCTCACAGACATTTACAGGAGCAGTATCAGTGCTGTTGCTTGAAAGATATCTGGTACTGCTGCCTGCTGCACAATGACACAGAAAAAGCATGCTAATGGTGCCCTCTGGAGTCCAGGGAACTCCACTGCGGCTGCTGTTTTCAGAGGAGATGTGTTTTCACATTAAGTCCCTGCAGATGATGCAACATCTCACACAGGATTTAAACGGACTGACGAGTGCTTTGTCATAATGTGTGTTGACTGAACACACAGGGACTAGAACAAGAGGCGTCCTGAGAAAAAAAATCTGCAGTAATGTAGTTACAGTACGTGACAATGAATAAAAACACGCTGAATCTCCAGAGTGAGTCACAGGAACACAGGAAGACGCCTTCCATTCTCATCATCATTTGTAAGGTAGCAAAAATAATCAATAATCAACATGACCACAAACGCTCCGTTATTAATAAATAAGTCAACGTGTCGTAAATTAAATGAATTACTTATCTTCTTGTGTGGGATGATTAAAAGAGCAGCTCGTGTGAATTTTTCGAGCAGAAGTGTAGCCTAACCCCCCACCGCCCCCCCTCTCATGTACTGTTTTTCACATCAATAAGTGTTGTGCTGTGGTTCCCCCCCCCCCACCACCCAGAGGGCCCGCGGGTGCAGCTGTAATTGGGAGTGCTTGTGTTGCCGCGTGTTACTGTTCCCTGGGCACGGCAACATTCCCCCACATGTCCATAGGATTTCCAACGAGCCCATCAAATGTACCTGCGAGGACAAAAGTTTGGCACTGTGCCATTTTTAGCTGATGCAACCCAGAGTCTCACTATCGAGACGCAGGCCTTGCTTTCACTGAGCTGCCTGTGGTATCTAACCATCTACACACAAAAGACAGGGCATAACTTCGACTCAATTATATACAACAATATGGTTTCAAAACAATATATATATCAGCATCTTTAAAAAAAAAGATAAATATACCAGTGTCTCCACATTCTGCAGAGGATGATTCTATTTCCAGGGTCATGAACCCTAAGCATGAATTTAAACATGAGAACGGTTTGTACAGTACAGACTCCTGCAGCCACATCGTTTCACTTGCACGTCACCATCGTATCCTCACGGTGCAGAGTAGAATACTGTGTACCGTGCAGATGCAGCACGGCCTTTAAATATCCTCTTCATCCGTCAAATTGTTAAATATTAAGAATTTTATCAGACCTTTTAGACTATGTCCTCTTTCGTTCTGCAGATAATGACGACACTCTTACTGGCATTGTGTTTGACTTAACGCACCGTGCACAGAATATATAGTAAAGTGATGCAGACGAGCACTATGTGGACCAAGGACGATGTGTTTCACTGGTGTCAACACTAGTAACAGGTGAGGGACAGAATGCAGACTTTAAATACACAGTTTTCAATCAAACTTACAGGTTTGGTTCACAGGAAGTCAGATCCGGCAGAGGGAAGGTCAATAAACTAAACACACACGAGGAGTTAACAGTAGAAGGATGTTGGAGCACTCACCGGCAAACAAAGGAATATCCACAGGTGAAGACAATCACAGGTGGGGCAGGTAATCAGGGAGGACAGGAAGGCAGAGGGAGACAGGAAGTGAAACTCTGCAGAACACAAAATAAAACAGGAAACTCAATGTGTAAACAACTGAGACATTAATCCCAAAAACAAAATTAAAGGAAAACAACAACAAGTAAACAAACGCAAATGTATTACCTATCACGGCTTTCAATTACTGAGCTAGATCATCAACTGAAAATAACTGGGCAGTGTATTTCCAAATGTGCTTAATGGGTGAGTGTAGAGACTCAGAGGCAATGATGCTCTTCACTGTTTCCACACACACTCTGATTCCCCGTGTCCCTCGTGGCAGCTGTTGTGAAAATGTGTGAGCATTTGTTGGAGCCTCAGGTGGCAAAGTGATTTGAATTAAAGACGACAGCGACAAACGCAGCCTCAGCGGAGCAGCGGGACAAAAACAGACAAGTCTAACTAACTATCTTAACTAAGTAAGTCAGACTAACTCTGCGCCTGACGTATTGCGCATGACAGCAGCTTTTGTCACTATCACTTAGTCTGTGTGAGGCCATTTGAACGTCCTGCTCGAGAACCATTAAGACATTCCATTCGAATTGAACGTGCCGGTTCTTCTCAGAGAGAAAGTCTTAAAGACGCTTGTTAAATGGTGTTGTGGTGCATTTGTGCATAGGTGCCCTACACCTGTCAGATGCAGTTGTGTTGTAAAAAGGACAATTCACAGCAGTAGCAGGTGACCTGGTTTAGAATGGCAATGAGTCCAGCAGCCAAAAAAAACTTTCCAAAGTCTACTTCCTTAAAGTGCTTACAAGAAAAAACACAGATGTGACCTGGTAACAGTGAAAAATGTCTTTCTACAGCCAAGACTAGTTATATTATTATTGTTTGCCACAATCCTACATTCAATTACTGCTCTGAAGAAAGATGGCTAGTGTTTGATATTTTCAATCAACCCCAAGGGACCAATTACCATTTAATCTCTGTCCAGTTTTTAGGTTGAAGTGTATACTCATACAGTATATATAATATTCTATAACAGCACAGTGGTTATATGGGCGTCCATGGTGTTAGAAAGTCGGTCTGTGTTGTCAGTGTGTGTTATGACAGCCAGCCCATCCTGCTCTCTCGCAGGGTCAGGGAACAGGATATGATCAGGTTTCCATACTAATTCAATTTGATGTATAGTGTTATGTGTGTTTGTGTGTGTGTGTGGATCCAAGCATGTGTTGCCCCGTCTGCAATGATTTATTATAGCGCTCGGAGGGGCTTGTTCTTTCATGATGCCACATGAGTAACATGGCAGTCAGGCTCTCTTTGGCCCTGCTGGCGATGGGGAGACATGCCAAGACGGCTGAAACACATTCCGGTTTGCACACATTAAGGTGCAAGGCTCAGGATACATATTTGTTGTGCATAGACACACACATGCACACACACACAGACACATATATATATATATATAAAAAAATCAAATACTGTAATCCAGGCTTAAGACTGCTTTATCACCTGCACAGAAGGCAAACGCTATGCAAATGTGAATAAGCTATTCCAAAGGCACGTCAGATTTAGGCCGGTCTTTAATATGTCTTTTGAGGGGTTAATTCTATGCAAATGAAGCCTCATGAGTAGAAAATTGCTGAGGATATTTTTCTAATAACACTACTCGAAAAGTGTAAAGTGATTATTTTGAGCTGGGATTTCACCAGAATATGTGAATTTACCAACACGAGTCTGCAGGAGTGAAACAATAGTTATGATGGTTTGCATGTTCCTACGGCGATAGAAGGAATATGGTAACACAGTCAGCTTGAATTGTGACAGTAATGACCAGATATATATTAGTATTCTTATATTCTATCATCTGTCTTTTGTCATACGCTGTGCCACATCCAAAGAGAGGATAAAACATGCAAGACAATGAAATGACAAAGTGAACATGTGAAAACTTGTTTGTGCTCCGTCCATTAGTATCTTTTTTTTTGCCTCCCCTCCGTCACAGGAAATAAGCGAGAGTGTTGTTGAGAACAGTCCATGAAAAACATGCTATTATTAGAAGAACATTTCATCTATGAATTTCTTTTTTCCCTCAAATTATGGATTAAGCCTCAAAGGCATGCAGCGTATGGATGTTAGTTGATTTTGAAGCTGTGATGGTGGAAACCCATGGCAGCGATCCAGTCATTTTTAGTTTGTATCTTTAACCATGTGAAGTTTTTTTTTTTCTTGTTTTCTGTTCATGAGATGAAAACCTCACCCTGCTATCTTTCTCTTATCTCCTAGGTGGGGTCAAAGGGGGGATTCTTGTCGGTGGCGTGTCGGCGAGGTAAAATAGCATCGGGCAGCATGTTGGCACCTGCATGAAAACAAAAGTGGAGCCTCATTACTTGGTGAGTGGGACGACTGTTTCTTTCCAATTCAACAAACCACACAATCCATGCAGCAGCTGTTTTCCCCAGACAAGGTTTTCCATATTAAACTTAATATTTGTGGTAGCTAATGTAGCAACGGCTTTATCTTAATAATTCTTGAGGAAAAGAAAAAAAGGGCTTAATTGCAAAATGGGCTGCAGCATTTTTTTTTTTCCTTCACTGTGAGCTTTTAATATGAGAAAAGCTGATTTCAGAACAAACAGTATTTTCATTGAAAAAAACATGAAAAGCCTTTTTACACCAAACCGCTCTTTATTTTTTAAATTGAGTTGCAGCTTTTTATTTTGTTGGTGGTAGAAAGAGAATATAATTGCAATTTTGTGGATGACGTGTACTACGCTAAAAAAGTCCATTAAGATTCTGTGAAATTGATTTTCATTTACTTTATTGTTTTCTTTGGCCACATCATTCATATGCTAATTAAAAAACTGGATTAATGATACTCTAACCAAAACCACAAACTGTTGCATTGTCTTATAATGTGTTGATGGGGCGGTCTTGTCATGACTCATTTATAACGGAAAGCTACTAAACCCTCGAAATAATAAAAACTGACAAAAATAATTTAAGAATAAGATGAAACCGACATTAACACCTTTTAGAAGTTAATCACAGAAAGCATGCAGCCTAAACTTTCTGTGGCTGTTGTGGTTTCCTCGGAACAATCCTCTGAGTTTCACGTTGTAATATCAGGGGGATGCCGAATGGAAAGCCCTGTTGGACACCACACTTAATGTTAGTTCTCCCATTTGTTAACATACTATATTAACGATAGATTTGTTGTAAACACAGGAGTAGTGTCGTTATATTTGAGTAAATAATTACTAAAAGGTCCTTGATCATCACTGGAAACACAAATAACTGTTGTCTCAGATGTACAAGTCATCATTACTTGAATGGAGCTTTGCTGCCAGAGGAATAAGCTACTGAGGTACCTGGTAATGTAGATATTGGGATATATTTTGGCCTGAAAAACACAGTAGTTGTCCAGAGAACATCATTCAAAGCAGACAGAACGTGATTATGGGACAAATTCATTGAATCGCTTCCCAGATTTAGATAAGGTCTGAAATACGAGCACTGTTCTCAGAAAAAGAAAATCCCTGCCCTGGGCCTGTCCAATGATGTAGCTGGGAAAAATACATTCAGCGGGGTATAAATATTGCAGGGCGAGTACATGGAGGGCTTTTTGGCCGATGAATTATTGCTAAGTCCAGTGGCTTTATGCCAGCTTCAGAGTACATCTCGCGCAGCTTCATCCTGCAATAAGCTGTGACTGGGGAATTGTGGTCATAGGCAAGACACAAATAACTACCAGCGATACCAGGAATCCATCACACTCATCCCACACGTTGTGCTTACACTCGAGCACACTAAACAATCGGTTGGCTAAACAATCGCACGCACTCGACATAGGAGGAAGAATTGGCTGTCAGGACAAGAACGCCGAGCAAATATTTTTACTGTATCATAACGGTGTAGAAGTACATACGTGTTTAAGTATAAATAATATATTTCAACAGAATTTCAATCAGAACTAGTAGCAGAGTGTGTTGCCGGGCTGTGAGGACTGAGAGGGGAAATGTTCACCCAGCATTCACCTCCAGGTTGAGCTTTGATAGATGATTTATCCCCCAACAGAGTAAACTGTGCCAAGTTCCGTGTGCTCGCTCTCAGAAGAGCAAATGTGGATGAATGATGATGAGTTCACTCAACATCACTAGAACAAGGTTTTGGAATTAGTCCATCTCCTTTTTTCGTCATTACTTTTCACTCGCACAAGATAATCACGTAACTCTGCAAAGCATTAAGTTAATGGTTAATACATCTGATTCTACTACTACAATGAGAAGAAAGGACGATAAAAGAAATAAGCATCTAAATGGAAAAGACTTTTCGCTCGGCCCACTGCGTCGTCGCAAACCAAAGAAATGTCGGGCAGGTTGGCTCTTTTGGTGATTAGCATAAAAGCATAATCCCCAGACTGCTGACATATTTCTTTTGAAAACCGCCTGTCTGAAAAAGACAGATATGCTCGGCAAAATGGATCAAATTTGTTTCATGTCAGATAGTAGCGAGCGGTTTCCCAGGGTGAATCTCCACCGAGCCACAAACAGACAGGATTAGAGATTGATGTAGTGGCCGTAGCACAGTAGATCAGAAAAGAAATATATTAAATACATCAAATGATTAGTGACAACTTGTGATAACCTCCAAATTACTTTGCATGATTCTACACTGTGTGCTTTGTGACTTTGAATCAGCGGGGCTGCTCGGAGGATGTTTTGCGGGCTCGAATTTAAAGCCTTCCCTAATTTGTTGTAATAAACGGGCTAATTCTTTAACGTGACACCGCTATTGCAATAATGAGGAAACAAGCATAGAGAATTTGTTTTTATTTCCTTGGCTAAAGGGGGAATCATTTTTGCACCGGAGCCGCTGTGTGTGTTTAATGAAATGCAGGGATTTTGTCTCAAGGCGCAGAGGATGAGGTTTTTTTTAAGTCTGGTGCATATTTTATAACCGTTAACGGCACACCGGCTGCTCATTAGTCGCGTGACAGGTAACAGTTCTATGGTGGTCTGTTGAAATGCATCCTCACTCAACACAGCATGATCCACTCAATCAGAACCTGACTTCCATCCCCCACAGAAAGGAGAGAGAAAGAGGAAAGTTCATATGAATTTATAATGGTTAAAAACCAAATACTGAAATGTCAATGAAATTATTATTATCATCTTGAATTTGAATCCTAAAATGTATCATGTGCCGGTGTTTACCTTTATCTGGCAGGACACCACCACAAGATGGTGCTGTGCGTCACTGTTTGAACCCCAACACTTAACTGAGAGGCTCCATCCGAGGCAGCGTGACTCACCTCCATCATCAGAATGAGTCGAATGATTAGCTTCCATTTGCTTTGATGTGCTATGCTGCAGCCTCATAGCTGCACAGATACAAGCAAAGATCAAACAGTGGGTCTCTATCAGACGCTTCTGGTTGATTGTTGATGCAACTACGTGAACTTTCTTTGTGAACTCGCAGGCTGCAGCAGTTTAATTGACGTTACGTTATCGGAGAAAACATATTCATCTCTTAATTTGGTATGCAGATAAAGAAATGCATTTATATGATGAATCTACTGATGCATTTCATGTATTCAAAAAGAGGAATGCTTATTTTTCATACTTAAAAGATTGTTTTGTATAAATTTAGTGTATAGTTGCTTTTTGTGCACGGATTAGCACATATGCAAAAATCTGTCATATGCAGAGTAAATCACAATCATTACTGGAAAATGCATGTATGCATACACCATGAACAAGCAGAGCTGTACAGATACAGAACTATGTAGTGAAATTACAGGGAAATCCAGTAGATGGCAGTGTTTCAATACAGAATCCATCTTCACATCCTCTGCACACACACACACACACACACACACACATTCAGTTCTTCTAATAGGTGTGCCTCTTGTCATCAGGAGGGGTCCCTCACGCGCAATGCTTTCCCCTGCGCAGTATGACGAGTGAACGCAAAGTGACAGCGCAAATTAACTTTTATTGCTGCTGTAATTAAGTACACAAGCTATTTGGATGTGGAGTTAAAAAAAAAGTATTAATGCTTGCATGAGAGAAACACACCCACACCCCCACACACACACACACACGCACGCACACACACACACACACACACACACACCGCTGCAGTATTTCTCCCTCCTTCATTTTCTCCCCTTATATCTCTCGCACTCCATCCTCCATCTCTAGCACTTGTACAGAGCAGAATGGCGTCACCACCCACTACTCGCATGCGCATACAGACACACGTAAGAACACACACACACACACACCTCCTCGCCATCTGTCTGTGCAGCGGCCCGTGTCTCTGGCACTGGGAGCGGTTGGGAGCAAGAGAGTGAAAGAGAAAGTGTCTCTTGGCTCTGTCGTCCTGAATCCCACTTCCTCTCTTTTGTTCCTCCTGCTGTGCTGTTGTCTATCAAATTGTCTCACAACATCACGCTGTCCGCCTATGGGCTCCCCCTGCTATTGTAACACCTATTCCTGATGCCATTCGGAGTAGAAAAAAGATCTTATTCCCTCTCAGCCAAACATCATGAGCAAAGGAGAAAGAGGACATGTGCTTGGTGTTTACGGTGATTTCATTTCACACTTGTAAAAGCTCATTTCAGCTTAGTTCATTAACTACGGGGCACTTGTTTCTTTAAAAATGTGAAAGGCTACAACTCTGCAAGGGGAGAAATAAGCATGCTTGATTAGCTTATGTATCAGGCGTTTCAAATTAATAACACACTCACGGTTTCTTTAGAGGTGTAAATATCACGCAAAAAGAAATCAGAAGGATTGAAGTCAATTCATGTGCCCTGAGACGGAGGGATCCCAAAAAGAATCTGCACATTATTTGATGCTATTACCTCTGAATTTCCCCGTATGCTTTCCTGATTATATTTGAAAGCATGAATTTATTGTAAGTGCAAAATAAAATACGCACAAACCCCAGTATTTACCCGGTATTTACACACAACAATCCACAGGAGTGGGGGTGATTCACTGTCATCAAGACTCTTTTCCCCACTGAACCAGATTTCCTTCTCTTTTTCGGTGAATTTTCATAAGCACACCGCACTACAAAGAGCTTTGTGAGCAGCTTAAGTAATTTGAACAAAATAAAAAAATGCATCCCTTCCTTCTCGCTCCCTTCTCCTCCAGTTAACAGCGAGCAAAAGTGCCTCCGTAACGGTGCTATTTTCATCCAGAGTGATAAGAAATGGCAGCTATCAGCAGGCAGTTTGGAAGCTGCATAAAACAGTTATTCTGTGTGTGTGTGTGTGTGTGAGGAAAATTGATTTATGTGGCCTATCACTTAACAGGCGCAATATGTGGATGATTATGGGCTAATATAATATTATGGAATGAGTGAGAGGGTTAATGAAATGACCAGGTGCTGCCTCAAGGTGAAGAAAGTCCAAAGACATATTATAAGACTTATGATCATCACTCCATGAAAGACAGCCGAAGCAATCTGGTATTTTTGGTTTTTTATTCTGTCATGTTGCATATTATTTTAAATTTATTTTTTATTCAGAAAATTATATAGTTTTTTAATGCATGAGAATAATAAGGGGCTGAATGAAAAACATTGGGGTGGGGGCCTGATCAGTGTCAGAGGTCAGTGGTTGTTGGAAAGTAAAGCAACCCTCAGAATAATAACTTTCCTATGAATCTCTTCGTCTAATTTCCTACTATGAACATGGCAAAATGAAAACAATAATATTAATCAAGCTGAACTATAATAATAAAAGGTTTTTCTAATCGCGTATATAATGCATTTTTTAAAATTAATTATGAGTACTCAAATATATACTTATTCTTAAAACGTGTGTATTCTTGTCACATATTTTGCTAGAAAAAGATATTACTGCCATGAGTGAACCAGGTGACAATACATCATGCTGAATTTGAAATAAATTTACTTATCATGGCAATTTTTTTTTTTTTGTGACGCGGGAACGACGACATAAGATCACTGTAAATGCTAGTGCACCATTATTCATTTTTAAAACAATATATCTTGCAAGGTATAAAATCTAAATACCAATGCCACTCCCTTCAAAAATAATCTGACCACCGTCCCCTAAATAAAAATAAATCATAGTCCTTTAACTTTCCTAACACCACAACTGCCTAATATTCATCAAAAGTCAAAAACTTTCAATAGTATAAAAATGCATACATCCCTGTATATCTATTTATACAAATGTAACTGCAAAATTATAGAATATACTTTATTAAGGGTTTGATCTGGTGCCTCGTCTACAAATCATAGATGCAAAAATCTACTTTCCCCGTTCTGAATATTGGTTTCTCCTCCCCATTAAATTCAGTGGGGAGAAATAGGCTGGGCGTAGCAAACAGCCTCTTGTTTACCCCTTGGCACAGCGCTGGTGCCATGTCCAGACTTGTAAATCAGGCCCATTGAGGTAGCATAATGCTGATGATTATGACAGCCAGTCGCATGGGAGTGATAGAGAGACGTTGAGTTATGGGCTGGGGGAGGATGCCCAGAACTGAAGAGTCTCACAAATGGAGAAGCACTTCCACCGAAACACACAAGTCCCCAGATGGGGACTAATGCTGCAGTTGGCGGCCGTGCCACCCAAATGACTGCACATTAGCTGCTCCGAACCCACAGAATAGTAAAGTATGTTTGTTTTTTTACTCCACAGTTCTGCCATTTCGCTCGATTACGTCGAGATAATATTTCAAAAAAACACGCAGGCCGGGATAAAAGAGGAAGATTTGTATTTTGAGAGTGTTTTGTGTGGCAGTGGCGTGCGATGCATCACTGATCGAGATGACTGTGGGGCGGGAAATGCATTTTCATTCACTGTATTACTAAAGAATGTGCTGTTTGCATTCTACTTTATTCATCCTACTCCCCTTTGTGGATGAGCGATCATTCATTCTCATTGATCGTCAGCCATGATAATATAATCAGGCATAAAGCCTGACAAAGCTGACCGGTCCGATAGATCAGAGCTGCTGACAGCAGAGCTATGCACAGGTCATAAACCCTCACCTTCCCTGTTTGACCCCACATCAATTTGGCTCTTTCCAATATGAATGCAAATAACAATGCATTTTTGGTGACATGTTTATGGTTATCTCTGTATCTCCGCTCGCTCCGCCTGCTGCTCCTAAATGTGCTGATGTTACTGAGCTAATGGGATTGTGAAAGGTAACCTATTGCTCACTAGCGGTCAACTCTCTCTCTCTCTCCCCTCCCCTCCAGCACCTCCGGAAAACAAACACAAGCATCCGCGCATGCCCACGCTCGCACCCACACACACACATGCACACCTACATGTCCTCCACCCCAGTCACTTGTGTATGCATTGAGCTGATAAGTGCTGCGGTTCATTTTCCCCATGGCAAAGCACAGTAAAAAACTGGGGTGTAATAATTGCTTTGGGGGGGGCGAGACGATGATGGCTAAATATGCTTGATTGCCTCCTAAGCTTCGGTGCTGTGTAATGAAATATGGCTGCTGCAGACAGGGGCTCCGGTGCGATAGCTTTCTTGTCACTTTCTCACTTGCAATTTTTTTTTTTTTTTTTTTTTTTTTTACCCTTTCACTCTTCTGTTCTGGCATTTTCGTCTTTGCTCACCCGTTGCCTTTGTCGCAGAATGGAGTCCATCAAAGCGTTTGTTGCCATTGAACACTTATCTTAGCTATAATGTAATAATTACTGGGGCCAAATCCGGCCTAATTGAGTATTCCTCACCACATCAAAACTGCAGGCGCCCTAATATTCCTCTGTTCTACAATTTAATTTGCGGATTCATTAGCATGAGCAGGGAGTATAGAGAGAAGCTAGATAAGGAGGAAAACACACTGTTGTTGAAGTTAGGTTGAAGGGGCGAGGGACCAGACACATTCTCACCTGGGTTATTATTTCCAACTGTCATATGCGCGTCGGAATAAATGATTCAGCTTTCGGTTTTGTACTTTTTCGACTTAGACTGCATGAATATAGTCTAAGACTTAGACTGCATGAATATAGAAACTGACGCATGTGAGCAGTTTTGCGCTGCTATAATCATGACATTCATTGCTAATCATCTAATTTGACTGCTATGAAGCCCGGCAATAATATTTTCAAAGATAATGAGCCAAATTAAAGCTCACTCAGTGTAGCTAAATAAAAAAAAAATAAAAAACTGTTAATCCACAATTTGGTTGTAACCACCCAAAGCACATTTCTCCCTGTTGGTTAAACAAGTAGCTAATCATTTACAAGAATATTAGTCCACAGGCTTGTATGGGCACAGCAGCATCTGCTAATGCACTGAGCAAGAAAACAGCCTGAGAAAATCTTCCCACATTAAATGAAAGACCTTTTTTTTCTTCTTCTTTTGCTTCCAGAATAACTCAAGCCTAATTTGTTGTGCTACTTAAAGGAAAATGTAATTACACTTGTTTTCATTATAATTCACAAAGCCAATCGATAAGTGTGGTTAAGTCATTCTCTGCTGCACATGCACTGAAATTTGGTCGCAAAACAAGCATTCTGTCAGTCCGCACTATTTGTTCTGAGCATAATGTCGCAAAATATACGTGTATCAATTACATTCACTTGATAACAATTACTTTTTAATGGCAAATCATGTACAGCCAACTTACTCTGCGCTTTATTTTTTTATCGAGCCCTCCTCGTTGTCTGGTCTTCACTTCACAAAGACAGTTTGATTAAACTATTCATCCCTATCCTGTCCCTCTCTGTCTTTCTCATTTATTCAGTCCTCTTTCCTGAGACGTCAACCACAGGATGAGGCCTGCGGCAGGTAAGAAAAGAAAGAAAAAAAGAGATATCTGATGTTCTGACCTCCGTTTCGCATCATTTCCCATCTGCTCAAATCCCATGTGACACATCAAGGATGCCCGCATGCTGTGTTTTCTTGATGCTTTCAAATTTGATCTGATAAAGGGTTCGAGCTGATCACGTGTCCCAACATCGGTCTTAGTTTGAGAGAGGAGCTGCTCGTTTTTAGTGGTGAGAAAGGCCGGAGAGTATGTCCAGTGCCATCAAATCAAGCGCTGAGCTAAATCTCGACTCCAGCTCAATGCTCCCCCATCTCCTGACCTGCAATGGGGCAAGGGGGGGGGGGCTATATCTGGCAACCCAAATCTTTTTTAAAGTGACTGAGAGAGTGAGGGAGACTGACTGGCACTGATGGGACCAGACTTGGACTGTGCGATGCTGTGCTGTGCTGCACTGCGCCCCGGTCTACACAAGCCTGATTGATAGAGTGTGATGAGACTGTCACTGAGCAAGGAGAGCGGCGGAGAGATAGGCTGGATGGAGGGAGGAAGGTGAGCTGACCGGCGGAGAGATAGAGAAATAAATTTGAGAACGTGAAGGATGAAGTGAGGGAATGAAGTGGCTGGATGGAATGTGTATCGGACACATGAGGGACAGGTTGGGGTAGGGGAGCACTGGCAGAGAGATACTGGAGGAGGGAAGTGTCCACTTTTATGCCAGTTAAGTTTTGCAAAGACAGAATGTTGAATAGTTGACACAAAGTATTTGAGATGACAGCATGAAAGCAAAATTACCTATTAGAGTCTCACATTATTTTTATTTCTGTTCGGCTGAATTACCTATAATTGTCACTGACAAGAAAGTCGGCAGTTCGATCCCAGTCTCCCCCATTCTGCATGCTGAAGTGTCCTAGGGCAAGATACCAAACCCCCAAATTGCCCCTGACTGCCCCTGCTATATAAATACTGACCATTTATCTCAACTCTGAGCATTCGCAATTATGAAAACCTGTCCACTGAAGAAACAGCTTGTCGTCAAGTTACAAAAATGTACATATATCAGTGGCAGCTGATACGACATATCCCCGACACAAAAGAAGAAGCTGCAACTGAATGTTTTCGACAAAACATACAACAGGAAACACTGCAGCCGAATATTTCACATCCTCACGCACTAACTATAACTAATGCAATGGGATGCTGCACCGTAGAGCCCAGCTGTCTTAAAAACTAAGTGGACAAAATGAAGCAGAATGCAGATGTTAGCAAATCCAGATGAGCCCTGATTCTTAGGGTTGGCCTGCGACATATCTAGTATGTGTATAAACTGACCTATTATTTTATTCATTCAGTACTTTTTACTTTTATTAGCCCTTGCACTGCATGCTGCAGTAATTATGTTAGTATTTTTATATAGCCTTTATGCAAAAAAATGTTTGCCGAACAAACTTTTATGTTAATAATGATAAAAACAAACTTTAATACATATATACTTTTTGTAAGGTACCTTTCATATAGGAAATGCAGCTCAAAATGCTTTATATACATACAATATAGGTACAATATAAAACATGTTGAAATGTATTTAAAAGAAAAGGACATTTCAAAAAAAGGTAAAAGAGCGGAGGAGTGCAGGGAAGAGCAAGATCTAGTTAAACGCTGAAATAAAGAGAAATGACAGAGTCAATATTGTCAAATAATAATTTGAATGTCTAAAATTTAAAGTTAGTTAGTCTATGTTTTATCTGTATGTCTATTTCCATCTCCTGGAAATTGTTCTTTGACCAGTGTGTGTCTACATTAGGAGCCAAATGGACTCAAATTCCCTGCATGCATACACTTGGCCAATAAATGATTGTCACCTTTGTCAAATATTGATCAAGTCAAATCTTCAGCATGTTTATGTAACCTTAACCAAAGTGCTGAGCAATGCTCAAGTGCCTTTCTGCCTAAAACGACACGGAGCACTCCAGATGTGAGGCGTGACTGTGACCTCCAGTTTCTGGGTCCTGCACCGAACCCGGAGCACGACTTTATTTCTCCACGAAAAGATCATGTGAAATCTCACACACATGCGTAAAATGAATCTGGCGCCCGATTGATAGTTCAATTTAGAAAACGACATAGTTCATATTAATATGCAAATGATCAAAGTTAGGAGCGACAACTCTTTTGATCTACAAGCCACATATTTCCTATTCTGTATGTTCCCCATGTGAACGTCATAAATAGTTTACTGGTTTGCTTATCGGTCTACCAGCGCCTGCTTTGGACACGATATTAGATCTTGTGGACACATGGCATCTTGGCAGCAAGTGGGATACAGGCTGAGCTAAAGCCCTGTTCTGGGAATTCCACAGTTAGTGATTTCAGACTCAATAACAGCACCATGTTTTACTTTTATCATTGCCTTAGGAAAGACGGCTGACTCACCAGAACGCCAAAGTTATTATTAGTGCCTCGCATATGTGGAGGGTGAGCTGTGTGTATGCGCGCGCGAGTGTGTGGAAGACAGAGAGGGAGGCTCCGGCAGAAGTGGTAATCGAGGCAAGAGCAGCATGAGGAGCTCTTATCTGCTGCCTGCCAAGTCCTGACCAGGGCCCTGACTCCTGCCTCCCCTCCCTCGCTACATCCCTCCCTCTGTCCCCCTCCTCCAGTGGGGCTTCCCACTAGTCGGCTATAGTCAGGGCAGCCAGGTGAAATGAGCAATTCCCATTCAGGGACAGGAGCGCCGCACTGACTCGCCCTGTGAAATGGCTGCTCACTTTGGCAGATCAATGCACTCTCCCTCCCTCATGCACTGCCACAGTGATAGCCAGGAAGAAAAGGAAGGGTGGAAATGGTTCTGGGCGGAGAGAAGGGACCAGTGGTTTTCAATGCGCGGTGCTTGTGTATGTGTTTGTTAGTGTGGAGAGGGGGGTGGGGTGTTAGCAGGGCATTTAATGATATTTGCCGCGGCCGCTCTGAGTGAGTGCTGTTCTAGGGAAAGGGGAGACGCTTTGCATAAACTCAAAAGACATGCAATATTGCTATTGCCTCGTTGGGAAGTGCCGTTCCCTGTCTCACCGGATATGAGAATATTCATCCAGTGAACTGGAAATTTTGCCAATATGAATGATATTAGTGACAGTCATATTAAAATGCTTAGCTGTGACAAAATGAATTCCATATCTCAGCAGTGATGAGAGTCATATGTCAGACGTTTCTAGTGTATGCATGGGTTGGACATACAGGTTTAAAGGAGGAATTGGAAGATAAAATGTGCATAATCTAAACTAATTCTCTACTAGATAATCATACAGGTCCAATAACTTGAGTAGGCAATTACTTTTTCTGCTCTCAGTAACTAATTATGCTACACTATGATACGTTAATATTAAAAAAAAGACCTCCCACTATGCTAATTTCAGATATTTCAAGCTCTTTTCAAGGTTGTATTCACACGCTATTCACAGACACAAGATTTTCTGCTATGGGGCCAGCATCTCCAACACAAAATATGTTTTGGGCTACGCAGAGCCCCTAGCTTTGTGTTCGGAGCCCAGTGAAAGTGGCTCTTAAGACTTAAGCAGATGAATGAAATGAAGCTACGCCACATGTGCACAGGAGCCAACTAAAAGCAGCTCTGCAGACTGGTCATACGAATCAGTCATGTCCTGTCCCAGGCTGTGCGGCTGTCAGCAGGGGTGCTGCAACACATTAGGCAAAGCAGGAAATTGAATGGGGCCCCGGGCTAAGAGGAGGCCCCAGAGAACAGTTGATTACATCAGTCCTGAGCAATGGCAATTTTCTGAGAACCCCCCCCTTAATTCATATGATCAGTACTGTGTACAGGAGACTGTATTGTTAGTATGGCAGTGCTTTGTGTTGCTCACAGACTGCATATAAATGAGGTGAAGCTGCCATGTTTCTGTTCTAACAGCCCCGTGGTGAGTGGGTAACAGGGTTTCACAGAGAGGAACTCACATGCCCTAACATGAATGAAGCCTGGACCAGCCACCAGAAGACAACAAACGATACACACAGATTTGACTTCAATCTTAATTATCCACTATATCTTCACAAAGAAAAAGTTGGCTGCTAATATTAATGTCTACAGACTCTCAAGAACCTTCTCTTTATTTGTCCCTTCGCTCTCTGGTCATATTTAGAAACCCTGAATCATCTTTGGCCACCGATTTCAACAATGCACTTTGCTGATTGGTTATCGGTTACATCATTGGTTCGTGGTAATGCCAAGTGATTCATGGTCAAATCTATTATTCAAACCTGGAAACTCACCAATAAATCTACCATTTGCATGATTAACTCTCACATCATTTTGCCCCTCGTTGAATAATTACATCATGACTTTTATAAAACTTCAGTGAACCAGACATCGAAGATTTCTTAGCAACAAAGAAACAGAGTGCTTCTCTTTTCTCCTCGTTTAAACAACTGAGTTATTGAAGTTTTAATTTCATGTGATGATTCTACTTTATGTTGTTGTATTTCATGTAAGTTTCTATCCTTAATACAGTCTATTGCATGCTCTAGCAGTGGAGCCTTGGTTAGTTTACTTTATATTCTATAAATCTAATAAACTATGGTTAATAACCTAGACCAAAATAAATGACAACAGCCTACCTAATTGCAATATACAGATATCAGATATCTCATCTTAATGGTAAAATTAAACCAGGCTGAAAATCAATGATCAAGAGATGTGTTGCAATTACTTTTTGGGTGTTGAAAACCATTCAATGCTACAATCTGTTTTGTTCACTCTAAATAAGAATAACTATTTATTTTTAACTATTTACATATCTTCTATGACACGATTGTGTTTTGAAACGGCACACCAACAAACTCTGGTCGATTCATGTGCAGTAAAAAGTCCTCATCACTCAAATTTGGAATTTCAAGAGCAAATATGTGATAAACATTAATTCAGCTGTTTTCAATGGATGTGATCAAACACAATCCATCACAGTAGCTGCTACCTGGAGAACCCCAAGGCAGTGTACTGGTACCTCATGTTATT